AAAATGGCCTTTGGGGGGCAAAGGGCGAGGGGGCATCATTGAGGCAGTCGATCGAGATCATCCTGATGACCATGTGGAACGGATGCTGAAAAACATAGCAAGAAATGTGCAGCTGACCGTGGGTGCAGGCGTCAGATCCCATCTACTAGGGAAGGGGCCTGGAGGCAAGGGGAGGAGTCGCTTAAACCGGCGGAAGGTGAGAAAAAGTGGCAGTGAACGGAGATTGTGCAACTGCATTCCAGCCTAGTGACAGAGCGAGACTCGTCAAAAAAAAAAAAAAAAAAAAAATTGCGCGGACGTGATGGACATGCCTGTATCCACTACTCCGGAGGAGGGGGTGAGCAGGAGAATCGTCGGAACAGCCCAGCCCGCCACCACGCCCGGCTAATTTTTGTATTTTAGTTTCACTGTGTTAGCCAGGATGGTCTCGATCTCCTGACCTCGTGATCTGCCTGCCTCGGCCTCCCAAAGTGCTGGGATTACAGGCGTGAGCCACCGCACCTGGCCTAATTTTGTATTTTTAATAGAGACGGGGTTTCTCCATGTTGGCCAGACTGGTCTTGAACTCCCAACCTCAGGAGATCCACCTACCTCTGCCTCCCAAAGTGCTAGGATTACAGGTGTGAACCACCGAGTCCGGCCAACTGGGGACAGTTCTGTCTCCCAGAGGACACTTGGCAATGACGTTTTTGGCGTCAAGACTAGAGGAAGGTGCTACTGGCATTAAGTGGGTAGATATATAGATGCTAAAAAGCATCCTACAATGCATATGAAACTCCTCACAAGCGAGAACCATCTGTTCCCAAATTTCAGTAGTGTTGAGGTTGAGAAACCCTGTTCTGAACTTTTCTCCAGGCTGGATGCAGTGTCTTATGCCTGTAATCCCAGTACTTTGGGAGGCCGAGGCGGGTGGATCACTCAAAGTCAGGAGTTTGAGACCAGCCTGGCCAACATGGCGAAACCCCGTCTCTACTAAAAATGCAAAAATTAGCCAGGCGTGGTGGTGGGCATCTGTAATTCCAGCTCAGGAGGTTGAGGCAGGAGAATTGTTTGAACCTGGGAGGTGGAGGTGGCAGTGAGCCACCACTGCACTACAGCCTGGACCACAGAGGGAGACTCTGTCTCAAATAAATAAGTAAATAAACTTTTCTCCAAACTTCAGGGAAATCATAAACATTTCAAAATTATATTTTCTTTTCAGGTATAAAACACCCAGTTACACATGTTTCTGGTGATAATTGTTGTTATACTGGAAGTTTGTTTTGTGTGGTAAGTATAAGTGTATAATTGTTCATTTTTTTGCTCCCCTCTGAACACAAATAATCATGAGTAGAAATAAAGGCTGGGCGTGGTGGCTCACACCTGTAATCCCAGCACTTTGGGAGGCCGGGGCAAGAGGATTGCTGAAGCCCAGGAGTTTGAGACCCAGCCTGGGCAACATAGTGAAACCCCATCTCTACAAAAAATAAAATAATTAGCCTGGTGTGGTGACATGTGCCTGCAGTCCCAGCTACGGCAGGAGGGTTGCTTGAGCCCAGGAGATCGAGGCTGCAGTGAGCCATGATTACGCTACTGCACTTCAGCCTGGGCAACAAGCGAGACTCTGTCGAGAAAAAAAAAAAAAGATGTGGGCACGGTGGCTCGTGCCAGTAGTAATCCTAGCACTTTGGGAGGTCAAGGTGGGTGGATCACCTGAGGCCAGGAGTTTGAAACCAGCCTGGCCAACATGGCAAAACCCCGTCTCTACTAAAAATACAAAAAATTAGCCGGGCAGGGTGGCGTGTGCCTATAATCCCAGCTACTCGGGAGGCTGAGGCAGGAGAATCGCTTGAGCCCTGGGGCGGAGGCTGCCAAGTGAGCCCGAAGAATCGCAACCATTGCCAACCCTCCAGCCTGGGTGGCAAAGAGTGAAACTCCTCTCAAAAAAAAGAAAGAAAGAAAAAGAAAAAGAAATAGGATAGTGTAAAGGATTTCGAGGAAAACTGGGTCTCAAGAACTTTGTCAGTGGGGTCATTTCCTAATGGGCTCAGAAGCACGCTGGCATGGAAAAAAGGTTTTGGATGTTTTCAGATTCCACCGGCCCGCTGACAAATCACGTTAAATACCTCCATCTTATAGTGAGATCCCTCTCTGAACAAAGTAGAGGTCAGAGGTACCCAAACCCTCCCCAAAAAAAAAAAAAAACCCAAAAAAAAAACCAAAGCGTTAGAATCCACAGGGTAGCCGGGCGCGGTGGCTCAAGCCTGTAATCCCAGCCCAACGTTCGGAGAGGCATCGCAACACGGTGGATCACGGAGGTAGGAGATCGAGACCGTCTACTGGCTAACACGGTGAAACCCTGTCTCTACCTGAAAATACAAAAACTAGCCGGGGGAGGTGCGGCGCTGGTAGTCCCCAGCTACTCCGGAGGCTTGAAAGCCAGGAGAGATGGGGCTAAGCTTGTAACCGGAACCCGGCCGAGGCCAGGAGGCTCTCAGCAGTGGAGCTGGAGATTCCGCCAACTGCCGCTCGCAAGCCCGGGCTAACAGAGCAAAACTCCGTCTCAAAAAAAAAAAAAAAAAAAAAAAAGAAAATCCACAGGTAACTTTCAACTTCCCCCAAACTTAATTACTGGCCAGGTGCGGTGGCTCAATGCCTGTAAATCCCCAGCACTTTGGAGGCTTGAGAACAGGCAGATCAACAAGCCCAGATGAGTTCGAGACCCAGCCTGCCAACATAGTAAAACACC